AATTAGATATGACACTTCCAAGACACTATGATAGTTTAAACAAATAGATCTAACAATTAGGTTATCTTCTTGACCATGTCAAAAGGGTAAACAGTACCTTTAATATCATGCCATGAAACCTAAATCATATCGTACAGTATATGAGACCAGTCATAGTTCATCCTCCAGATAAAGATCACAGTCTTTGGTCATCCGTGTATGGATTCGATATGACACTGCTTGAAGGCTTGTGGTCCTCTGGGAATCGGTCTGTAATCAGCAGCTCATTTGTACATGACATCATTACGATCTGGACATGTGTGTTGCATCGGGTAGAAGATGAATCACCAAAGATTGGTGTGATGATTAGGGGAGATACCAGACAAAAAGAGATCATTTTAGTAGAACTGATTCATGCTGTATCGTCTGCTGACAGCCAGAAAGGCTTAAGAGGTAGTATTGCTCATCTGGTTCTTAGCAGATGATTATTGAGAGAATGATCACCAACTACAAGAGATACCAAACATGAAGAGATGATTCTAGTATTACTGATTCATGCTGTATCCTCTGCTGAAAGCCAGAAGGGCATTTAGAGGCAATATTGCTCCTCTGGTTCTTAGCAGCAGATCATTATATTGAGCGAATGGTCACCAACTGAATCTGAACATCTGTGTTGCATCGGGTAGAAGATGAATCACCAAAGATTGGTGTGATGATTAGGGGAGATACCAGACAAAAAGAGATGATTTCGTAGAACTGATTCATGCTGTATCGTCTGCTGAGAGCCAGAAGGGCATGTAGGAAGTACAGTGAAACCTGTCTATATAAAGACCATCGAAGGGAGACAAGAAAAGTGGTCTTTATAGGCAGGTGGTCTTAATGTACAGGCTCCTTTAGTACATTTTTCAAGGAGAAGCCATTTTCAATGGAAACAAAGAATGTGGTCTCTGTAGACAGGTAGTCTTTCTATACAGGTGGTTGCTGAAGCAGGGTTGACTGTATTGCTCATCTGGTTTGCAAAAGATCATTATATTGAGCGAATGGTCACCCACTACAAAAAGTGATGGGAAATAACTATCCTCACTAAGTCGATATCGGGGCAATTATTTTCACAAGCCAATGGCAGAAGACTATTACATTATGTGATAGTTTTTACAATTACTATGACTGCCAGGATAGGATATATACATTAATCTGTCATTTGTCATTTGACCTCACTTTGACCTCCCTTTGACCAATTTTTTTGCAAGATTCTCTGTATGTGAGATATGACATACTTTATTCTTTAGTCTCTTTCAAATTCTTCTTTATTTTCATTCTACTATTCCTAACTTTTTCTCTTTCACCCCTTATCTCTATTATATCTAGTCCTCTCTTTTCTTCTCATTCCTTTTTATCTTCTTCTTCGTCATCTACTGAAGATAATTCTTGCAAACTTGTTATTGCTTGAATTTTACATTACATTTAAAATGACATTGTAATTCAAGTAAAATTCAAAATGTGAATTGAAGTTTTCAAAAGAGAATATAACAATGCATCAAATTAAAAACTGTTATCTGCCTCCCACTGAAAGCCTTGGCACATCACTAAACCAACTCCAACCCAACCAACAACATGGCTATTCTGGCTAATGTAATCTCTTTGTTTGTTGGGTCTGTTGTTAGGCTGGTGTTGGTTCCATCAGGGTGACTGGGACATAAGAAATAGGGATACTGCTGTCATGGATTTCAGCAATATTCATCCAGTTGAGCTATATTCTCTCTGAATAAGCCCTATAAGGCTATTACAATGACAGATACAGTGATTCCTCAGACACGACTCGATAGGATCACATCATCTGCTGAGGGCCAAAGAGGCATTAGACTCTGTCTTTAAGGATATGAGTTAACGTCTTTCTGGCTCTCAGGCGACGATATACGTTACATGATATTCATCTTTGTAGGTCAGACAGACAGACATCATGTCTCACATCCATTTGCTTAAGGACCTCTCTTTTTCTGTCTAGTATCCTGTGGCTTCTTCGGTAACATAGGACTTCAGATGGTTTTTTTAAGTTCTTTTGGTTGAAAATTGTATTCAAGGCTTCCAGTGATGGGCTCTCTAGACTAATTTTTCTATATTTGATTGTTGGGAATATATTGTGAACCATTAATTGTTTGAGTGTTGTCTAAAGCCCTTGAGACAATGGGCAAACAATAATCGGCAACTGGCAATCACATATACTCTAATAGAAAGGTCATGGGACAGATCTTAAATGGTTACAGAGAGTTAGTTAGGTCTTGCCAGAAAAATTTTCTATCGCTTATTTCATTTACATGACCATTTGCAACAGCCCAAGACCTTAATGCCTACCATACTTCTACAACTTATCAAGTCTTGCCTAGCAGTAATTCCCGAATCGCCATAACAGCACAGTGATCACATACATGTACTTATAATCGTAAACCTGCTAGTACAGAAGTTTATTGAATTCTTAGTCTGTATGCTATGTATTCTGAGGTATTTGGCTGACTTAGGTTATGTAATACTATATATGCAAGAAGCTGATAATTCCTGTAATAATATTTGACCGCACATGGATCCTGCGGGTGTTTACTACATAACGAGACCTGAGAGGGTGCAGAATGATTTGTTAATCTAATTGACACAAATTAAGTCATGATATGTCATTATGTTTCACAATAAACGATCAAGGAGAAAATCATATCCCTTCCAATTACAATCTGACACCGATTCCGCCAAATTTATGATTGCATTGAGACGGTGGCTTCCCCATTGTCTGATGTCGTTGAGAGACCTTTCTATTGATGCGATGTGGTGAGATAGAGTTCTCCCCGTGCCATCCTTCCGTGTGTTTAATCACAGTCTCCTTCGGTCAGACCTGACGACAGACATAAACAGGGCTACATGTTATGTAATTTGTTATTTTAGAAATGAACAAACAAACTTTAGGAATATTAGAAATGAACACATAAAACCAACTCTAGGAATACTAGGATCGAACATCTCTCTTCAAGAAGGGGTGATGGCCCATTTGTAGAGCAGTGGTGTCATAATCGCGCGGTCCCAGGTTCAAAACCAAGTTGATGCTCTACCTCATTACCAAGTCACTCGAGGATTACTTAAAGACTTCAATTCTCTGGCTGTTTAATGCAAGCATATATACACAATTGCTTTCTTAACAATCAGGTAAGACAAACCATCAGCTAACCAACCAAATAATAGGAATCATTCCTGTTTGAAAATTATGTTGTTGCTCGTACAAGAAATTGACATACACTTTTAGTGCCATAGCCGCGGCTTGATTCAGTGATGTTTGCATTCCTGTTAAATGATCAAACACTACTTTGCATACAATTACTAAAATATAAATGACAGAACTCAAAAGGACAACTTGTTGTCAAAGAAATTCATTGTGAATTTGAGTCATTGCCGAAAAATAATGTTTAATCAAAGTGCGAATTTGTCATTGAAGGTGTGGACATGTGGGGGATGGCGTGATAAGCAAATATTAATCGACTACGAGGGTAATGGTAGCCCCGAGATCACCGAGGCGATGATAGTTTGTATCCATTGCGCGAGTAAAGGAGGTTAATATTTGTTTTATATCCCACATCGGCAATAAGGTCTATTTAAAGTGAATTTTACATAACAATAAGAACTGATTCTGCAGACAGTTTAGCTTCAACTAGATTTTACAAAGCGCAACATGCATACATGTAATACAGTCGATGCGCGCTCATTTGACATTGACATTGACTTTGACATTTCGCATAACCTACTTTGCTATGCATATTCAATGGGCAACGGTGGGCAAGTGGGGTAGCAGCAAAAAATTACTTTACAATAAGTACTATCTCAGGTAGATAGCACTTATCTATACCTTTTTCGTGCTCTGTACAATCGCAATGCAAACAACTATACATGAGGGATATAATATTGTTTATGTAATGGAACTATTGTAGTCCATCATCTTTTAAGCACTCCTTTTTTAAACTACTGTATACATTAAAATCTGTATAGGTGACAGGAAAAGTGGTCTTCATAGGCAGATGGTCTTTATGTACAGGTTTCTTTGCGAAAAGGTTGTCAAGGGGGGAAATGTGGTCTTTATATAAAGGTTGTTGCTAAATTAGGGTTCTCTGTAAAAGACACGCAGACATATGTTTCCTTATCATTTCAATGATATACAGTATCTATAGCTTTACAAACATATAAGATAACAAAAAGTATATTTACAGTATGTATTATATCTCCATCTAAATCTAGGTATTGTTATCAGGGTTTTCATCGAAAATGCAATATCATGATGATTATCATTTTATAGGTCCAAGGTCCATGCTTTTTATTAGAAGTGGGAGTGACATGCATCAGTAAACATGCATTTTGTGCGCTGTCATGATAGGTATTTTGTTTATTCCATTTTTGTTTGTTATACTGACAACAAACTTTTTCCAGGTGACTAGTTTTTGACAATGAGGGCTATGTGCCTGAATTTATAGGAGTCATATGATTCAGGGAGTTTGGATGCTAGGTAGAGGATCAAACTTTATTGACACTCAAAGAGGTTGTCGGCAGCTTGGAAACGCACAGTGATTATAGATCAAAAGCTCTTTTAGCTCAAAATGTATGCTGTTTCATAAGAATAGACTATACAATGGTATCTGCAAGGATTATTTGTCTTTTTTTACGGACAAAATAAAATAAATCATCTTGTGTGTTTCTGAGTTGAAAATAATGTTGGTCAACCTAGCTGTTTGGAGGTACAATGTGAGATAATCTGGCAACATTTTTGATGTGGTGTTTTTCTGAATTTTCCACCACTGTAAACGTTTTCTAGAGCTCTTTTAGTATATGTTATTTTTTTTTCTTCTTTTTTTCAAAGTTATTTTTGCAAATTGTTAATAATTTTGTATATTTTTTTAGATATTTGTTTTTATATGGATGGGTTATTAATTTGTTTCACATGTTTTATAAAGAGTAATTTATGTATGTTTAATAATCCCTTCTTGTTCGTACAGGTAATATAGTATGGATGGACCCGCACTCGGCCGCCAGGGCCCTTCTAGGCATGAGCAAGCCTAGAGAAGGCTACTTCAAGCTGGGCCTGAAGAACCTAGCCCAGTCCAGGCATCTGTTAGAGCCAGAACCAGTCCAAGAACCTGAACCTAGGATAGAACTGGAATCAGAGCCGATGGAAGAGGGAGGAGGTAAGATCACCCTCAAACCCTGCGGAGGGGTCCATACTAATTTGTAATTTTTAAGGGTCCCTAGATTGAAATTTATTGGACCTTTATGCATGCCCAAGCCCCCCCCCCCCCCCATTTACATTTCAAATTTAGTGGTCCATATTTGAAATTTGTGGCTTATGAATAGCACCTGACCCTGTACTATTAGCCAAATTACTTAATTCCATACTTAATTCAATAGCTACAGTAAATGAAAAGAAACCAATCCAAAGTTTGTGTTTTTCATTTTGTCAGACTCAAATTCTGTATCTACAGTTATTTGCTCTAAAATATTTAAAATCTTGTCTGCGTGGACACATTATACATGTTAAGAAGTCTTTATCAAGATTTCTTGATAAAGTACATGTAGTTGGTATGCTTAAATATTTGTTCAACCTTTGTACTACATGCAGTATCATCTAATAGAAGGATTTCAATGTTTGTTTATGAATTGGGGAATTTACTGACAAAGATGGATATCAAATTTATTAACAATTTTTTTTTCGTTACTGCTCATGTAAGCTGTTTAGTTCAAATTGTTTGGATTGGAAGATGCTAAACATATCACTAAAAGCTGACTAATAGATCACTAAAAGGTGACTAATAGATCACTAAAAGGTGACTAATAGATCACTAAAAGGTGACTAATAGATCACTAAAAGGTGACTAAAATATCACTAGAAGGTGACTAATAGATCACTAAAAGGTGACTAAAATATCACTAGAAGGTGACTAAAATATCACTAGAAGGTGACTACAATATCACTAGAAGGTGACTAAAATATCAAAAAGATGACAGAAGCTCACTTAAAGGTTACTATAGAAATATCACTAAAAGTTGACTGAATATCACCAAAAGGTGACTAAAACATCACTAAAAGATGACTAAAATGTCACTAAACGGTGACTATAAAGATGTCACTTAACGGTGGCTAAGATATCATTAAAAGGTGGCTAAAATATCATTAAAAGGTTAAACTAAAACATCACTGATATGCGATTAAAAGATCACTAAAAGTTTTCATGTATGCTCATTGAGAATGAAATGTTGATACATGTACCGGTATTAGCATTGTTTAGTAAGGCTCGGTTTCATTTTTTCTCTTTAGATGAAGATGAAGACGGTGTAGATTTGGTTAGTGATCGAGAGACCGGTGAGAAGGTCCGACCACCTGCCGCCAGAATCATCCCCACCTCAACCACCAATTCACATTCAAACTATGGTAATTAAAATCCTTCTTTTAGTATTTTCCAGCTGATGGGTGGTACATTTGCTTTCAAATTTGTGTCTGAGTAAGACTAAACTGCTTTCTAGTTTTACTAATTTCATTAATTTTCATGAGAATGATATTCCCCATTATAATAAACGGAAATTCTTTTTGCCCAATTGATCGTGAGCCCGGCAGCCACTGAGCAGCGCCAGATCGACGTTGCTCTATCCCTTATTGTTGAGCGCCAAACAAGGTAGCAACAACTCCCATCTTTTAACGTCTTTTGGTATGACGCGGCCGGGGTTCGAATCCACGACCTCCCGGTTGTGTGGCGGACGCTCTACTGACTGAGCCAACACTCCGGTGTTTTACATTATGTAAAAGAATAAACAAAAGAATAAACACTTCATTAACGTTTTATTATTTTTGTAATTCTTTAATGTTTAACTTGTTAAATTTCTAATCTTTTAAGATTACTTCACAATCTACATCCATGTGAGTTACCTTGCAGTCTACTCTGCTCATGTTTGTACAAAAAGATTTCATCGAATTGCATATTTCTTAACTGAGATTTTGTCTCCAACCAACACCTAAAGTATATCATTGGAAATAAATTCTGACATGTCCCATTGCGAAAAATGGTTATTCTCCTTCTTAGAAACCTCTTTTGGGTCTTCATTAAAGTTCCTTTTCATTTCAAACTACACATCACATAGTATCAACATAAATTATAATGGATCATATAATAAAATATAAATGACGTGATATGTACACATGTCAACAACAAAATCAAAGGACTAGTTGTCAATCGTTGGTATTAAGAGATTACAGGCACCTGGCCAAATAAAAGAACAATATAAAACGCAACCTCTCATTCCTACCGACCTTTAATAATATTCAAAATGCTTGCCCACTTGGCAGCATGGATGACTAATTTGCGACTAAAATTTTGAATATTGAATTTGAATTTTTAATTTTTAATTTTTAATTTTTAATTTTTAATTTTTAATTTTTAATTTTTAATTTTTAATTTTTAATTTTCAATTTTTAATTTTTAATTTTTAATATTGAATTTCGAATTTTGAATGGATAATTATTACTATATTTTTGATGTTGCAGCAGGCAGAAGAGACGAAGGAATGGAGGGCATTCAGTTAGGAGACGAAGATCTGGGTCCAGTAGACATCACACACGAAGAGGCTCTCAGGAGAGGGAGAGATGAGATACTCATGCGGTATGCTACGAGGGGTAAGCTATTATCTCCATATTTCTGTTTGGACTTTATATACTGGAATTTGGCTCAGTTTGATAGCTTAGCAAATTGTATTCAATTCCATTCAATTCAATTCTTTTATTAATCCAAAAATTCACAAGAATATTGTACATGGAAACTTATTTTGGTCACACATTGTTAAATTACGTAATGTATATATGAGAAACTATTTTATTTGATTTGAATAGTGATCTATTAAGATTAAAACAATATATCTCTGTAATAAAAAAAAATGGGAAATGAGGATCCCCTCATCAAATAAATCTGATGATTTTATACCATCAAAACAGATCACCTTTTTTTCTATCCCAGATCCATTCAGCTGGCTTTAACCATATTTTATCTTTGTTTTTCAGATGATGTAAAAGAGAGCGGAGCCTACAAACACAGCCAATATTACATCAAGTATGGCAATCCTAACTTTGGTGGAATGAGGGGGATTATTACACAGTCGATGTAAGTAGACAAACACTCACTCAAACTCTACCACCCTTTCTCCACCTCCCTCTCTCTCTCTCTCCCTCTCCCTTTCCCTTACTCTCTCTCTCTCTCTCTCTGAAACTTATTCTCGCACACCATCTTTCACTCCCACTAACTCGCTCTCTCTTTCTCTCTCTCTCTCTCCCTCTCTTTCTCTCTCTCTCTCTCTCTCTCTCTCTTTCTATCTCTGATTATTTACATACGTGAAATGCTTGTGGATGTATACTATACACACACATACGTACATTTAAAAGAACTTTATTTACAATTTTTGTTTGTGTTCCTGCTTATTTAAAAGAATGTCTACATTTCTGCCATATACACGTATTATCGTACTCGTATGGTTACACATTAAATTGGATATTTAGTGACCCTTAAAGCGAAGACAAAGAAGTCAGCTATCATCCGAGTAATTCATTGAGCTGAGTTAACAGCTGCTGCCCTATACTTGGCACGTGGCACGGTTGATTCATTAACTCGCGACACAAAAATCAAAGTTTGCCCAAATTTCTCCCAAATTCGTTCCAAATGGGAGTTTCCTTCAATTTATCAAAAGGGATGATCCGATGTCCCATTTCCAGACAAAGATGCAGTTTGTTTCTGTGCCATGAATTATGGATGGGGCTAATGCATATACCCAAGGGATTATTGAGAATGTAGGGTGGGTGAACAAAGTTTATCTTGCAAATTGTCAGGCATTTGATGGTATTTTGACGGTATGATTTAATTGCTTTGATTCAATCAACCTTCATATCTTCAGTAAGTTAAAGACATGTAATTAAAACAGCACCATGATGTATTGCTCAAAAATGCCTATTTTAAGATATGTTCAAATACAATAAATTAGAGTTTTAGTCAAAAGGTGGGTTGCTTTTTGATGAAAATGTCCTTGGTTGATTAAATGGAATTTCTTAGTTTTTTCTTCTGATTGATAATTTGTTTTTTTGTACGTGTTCTTGTCCCAACAACCAATATGATGAATAAGACAATCTTGTGACTGATGTGCTACTTGAATGTGTATCATGGATACTGCCAAAACTAGACTTGATGGAGGAAAGATATATTTGCCTTTTAGGTAGTATTGAAAGACTGTTACACTTTTGAAACTGAACATGTAACCCTAGGTGTCTAACCTCAGATAAGGCAGAAATCAGATAACAGAGAAAATGCTGAAAATAGGGTTCTTCTTTACAGTAGAACTGTAGAAGCTAAGTAAAACATAACATCCAAGGTGGTTTTATTGGAGTATCCCTAAAGCGTTACATATCATTTAAAAGCTTGGAATCAGTAGTTTTCAGAAAAAATATTCCAAACAAAAATGGATCCCGGTGGTTTAGTGTCGGTTTCGAGCTGAGAGGCTGTTTTATCATCTGATACAAGCCAGGAGGGTGCTTGGAATCTGTAGTTTCCAGAAAAAAATATTCAAAACAAAAAAGAATTCCGGTGGTTTAGTGTTGGTTTCGAGCTAAGAGGCTGTTTTATCATCTGATACAAGCCAGGAGGGTGCTTACTCATACATGTTTGATCATACATAGAGTGAGTGCCCTTCTGGCTCTGAACAAACACTGCGGAAGCACCTTGTTTCAGAATGCAATAATGTACAGGATGAAATGTATGTTTGTATCTGTAGGAAACAGAAGATCCGGCAGGGCAAATACATCCCAGGACAGGCACGGAAGAGAAGGTACGAGGACGACTCCGATGGAGAGAGGGAGCTCGAGGAGGAATGGCCTAGGAAACGCAGAGTACCTGGTAAGTACCTGCATCATTTTCCGTTGTAGGAATTGCAGTATCCCTGGTTAGTTGATCGTGTCCCATGGTACCGTAAAAACAGGATGAATAGTCATGGATGAATACAATAAAACATTGAAAAAAGTTTGTTAACATGATGTTTGTTCATTTGGACCCAGAAAGGTGTTAACTCGTACTCTTTTACGCCCTTCTGGCTCAAAAAGATGATTTTTTTTTTTAAATACCCAGGAATGATGCATACCCTTTTCATTTCTTTTACTCATGATAAATGCAACAAAGATAATGGTCAGCATCATCATTTCCGGCGATAGGAAACTCTGCCAAACCTCTTTTCAATTCTTGCCCCTATTCACTCCATTCATTGCTCTTTAATATTCTCTGTTTTACATTGGGTAACGTTGGGTACCGAGTGTCACGTTTTGTGGTAGGTGATATTCTGTGTAATAAATCTTATTGAAAGGAGCACAAGGAAAGGTTAAGTAATGTTATCATGTTTGCATCTCTAGACTAAAGTAAGAAATGAAGAGTAATTATCTGGTAATTATCTGGTAAGAAATGAAGAGTATATTATCTGGTAATTAGGGGGAAGGTTAGATGTTTTCGTCTCGTCAAAATGATATCTAGAATACTAAGCCGTTTGCTAAAAGAGATTAAACCACACATGGAAAGTAATAGATTGGGACTACAGGAATTAGATCAATCAGGTCATATCCATCTACGGTCAGTTGACGGTGAACTGTTAATAAACCAAGTAGAGGAAAGATTTATAGCTTCAGGCTAAAAACATCTTTCATCGGCTCCTTAAGAGAATAGGTTGTTAATCCTAGTGCCAAGATTCTATCAAAGAGAGTCAGTTTTGTTTCGTGGAAAGAAATTAGTCTGTTTTTATTTTGCTGCATATTTTAGAGCTTTATTATTGCTGTGAAATTTATTGCTTTTGCCTAAGATTTGGGTAGCAGGAAGAAAATTAGGTGATAACATTGATTTTAATAGAATATAATTTCAGCCTTTTTAATTTGCGTTTGAATGACACAAGAGGAATCTTAGTAGTTTAAGATGATACACAGGTATGCAGTTGCAGTGCTTTGATTCTAGTCTAACACTAACCCTTAACTTAATCAAACACCCAATTCACAGTTGAAGCTTTATCCCTAAATCTGAGGTAAAATATAGCCCAGAGCAAGTGTTCAGTCACCCATTCACACCAAGAAATGTGCATGGGTGACTGGAAATGGACTTTGATCGGTTATGAGTGTAATATTAGTCATTGAAGCAAAGGCAAGGGTTAGGGGAATTTAATAGTCAACCCTCCATCTATTCTGAAACCAAATCGCAACCCTAAATCTTTATCTTTGACAGAAATAAAGCCCAGAGCGAAATTCAGGTCGCCCATTTCACACCAACAAGTGTGTATGGGTCACTGGAACTGGACTATATGATTGGCTATGAGTGTAATATTAGTCATTGAAGCATTGAAGCGAAGGTTAGGGACTGGTTAGGGACTGGGGCTTATTAGATTGGGTTTGGCGCCAGGCTGAATGGACCTAAGGGAGTTGGTGTGTAACTGTATGAGATCATTGGGGTATTTTTAGACCGGTGAGTTATCCTGTTTTACGGAGGTCTTGTTTGTGTAGTGGGTGTGCTTTAATTGCTATACCAAAGGCAAGGCTTTAGGTCATTTAGTTGACAGTGTAAGGTCTGGTATGGGGTGGGAAAGCTTAGATTGGACCATGACCTGGTTTATAATGTCATTGGCAGGTCGTGGGAGGTGGGGGCATCTTGAAAGCTGACCTGATGTGGAAATTATTAGTGTATGCAAGGTGGATATTATTATGCATATATATGCTCTACATTGTATCCATAAGGAATTAAGTGAAAGTGATATTGAGTTGGGGAATAACAGAAATTCTCACAGGATGAAACAAAACTTACCCAGCATGTTTAAGACTTCAAATAGATGATTCATGCTAAATGAATTTGGTAGAAATTGTGTAATTGATAGCTGAGTGATGAGCAGAGAAAGATGAGGAAATGGGTGTATTGTACCAGCTCACTGTAAATACCACATGCTGCTCCCTTTTTTTTATTTTGCTTTTTATTGAATCTGTCACGTTTTCATTTATTTATTTTTTCATTAGTCTAGGGATTCAAACATCCTATTAGAATACACGTGTACATGTAAGAGAAGGGATTCAGAATTGATTGAAACTATCCTCTCTTTATTATGCACTTTCCTCACCGGAACTCAAGTTTATCTTAACTTGTCCCCAGTGTTTCAGAGAAGAAATGTCTGTGATGATGATCACATAAATGATCACATAAATATATTTACTGACATTTAGACTACTTGCATGGTTTGATAAACACACATCTTGCTTACCATCCTATCTTTCTAATTGCCTTCTTTCAGGGAGACTGGAGAGACGGTTAGGAGAACGAGAGACCAGTAGGCAGCACCGCTCACCTCTCCAACCACCACACAGCGAAGACGAGGCTGGCCGGAGCTCCGGGGACGATGATGAGGAGGAGGAGGAGGAGGAGGAAGGGGCCAACTTGGAGGCCGAAGTCAGGCATGCGTTGAGAGATGGGAACGAAGGCAGACATAAGGTGTCAAGAAGAATGTACGCTGATGAGATAGATGACGAGATTAAGAAGATAAGGTAAGATCATATGGAAAATAAAGAAGACTTTTGATAGCTGTGGCTCTACTCTTTCTTCCCCAGAACCCATTTCAGCACATCTTGTCTGTGATGTTATTCCCATCAGAAAAGCAAGTTTACTTAGATTCAAATCCTTTTTTTTCCATTCGTGACTGATTCATTCTTAAATAACTGCCCCCAAAGATGTACAATAATGGGATCTTGTGAGATTTCATTGTTTAGAGTTTTCCCACCTCTCCCTCCTATTCCTTCCAATATTGATGCACACATGAATGCTTAACTCTAAAATGCCTGTAAGAAAACCACTGTGAGCGATCTATCTGCCATCAAAGAGGTAGGAAGAATATCTGCGGAGTAGATTAAGTTTCAGCAAGGAATGAATAGAGAACCTTTATGTCTATAGTCTTTCTATATTCAGAGTTTCTCACCCTGCCCTCTCATATCTTCCGATATTGATGCACACATGTTTTAACTCTAAGATGCACTTTAAAAATACCATTGTCAGTTATTGTTAGTTAGGAAAAGAAAGCCTAAGATTCAGCAAGGAACAAAGAACCTTTGTGGTTATAATGTGTCTATATTTAGAGCTTCTCACCTATCGCTCATATTCCTTCCTTTGTTGTTTCCTGTCCTACCTGTTTTGAACCTTACACTGCTATCACTACACAATCAATATGAAACTGTCACGCTTCATTTGCGAATTGACTTATTAGTTATTACAATCATTCTGCTTATTTTACTCTAGCCAGCCTTGCAATTTCTGCAACCTTTTTAAATGGTAGCCAAGCTTTTCCCTCAGATTTAGTCAGCTGTATCATGTACATTTATCTTTGTACAATGAAGTTTGACTCTGCTCAAGCTGCACTTTTTCTATAAACATAATGTCAGATAAAAGATGTTGATACAAGATAGGTGGGGAGTTTATTAAGAACAAACGAGTTGGTGGACAGATTTATGGTGAAGTAGAGGAGATTGAATATGTCATTCTCCCGAGAGAGCCTCCTCTTCACACTGTCTTATATTTAGAATGTTAGAAGTGTGTTGAAATGTTGCTTTGAATGGTCATCTTCCTGTGGGTATGTGGAAGATAGTTAGCGAGTGAGATAACCATCCATCAAATAGTTAGTACAGTGTTGGAAGCTTGATGAAAACCATCTGTATGACTTCAGATTTTGGTTCGGTTTTCCTTTCTCTGTCTCCCCCTTCCACCCCACCCCAACTCTCTCCCTTCCTCCTTATTTCTTTCCAAGTCCTCCCCTCCCTCTTCCTCTACACTGTACCTCTCTAGCTTTTACTCCCCCCCTCTCTCTCTCACTCACTCTTCCTCACCCTCTCTATCTTCTCCTCTCAACCCCCTCTCCATCTTTATACCTATCTCCCTCTCTCTCTTTCTCTCTCTCTCTCTCTCTTTTCCCCTCACTCTTTATCCCCATCTCATCTCTTTCCCCTTCCCCTTTCAAGCTCTGTCACTCTTTCTTTCTTTCTCTTTTTCAATGTCTCTCCCCCTCCTTATTCTCTTCCCACGTACTCCCTCCTTTCCCTCCCCTCACCCCCTTCCTCTGCTGACCCCATCCCTCCCTCCTTCACTTCCTCCCTACTGCTTTCATCTCTTTCTCTCCCTTTTTCTTTGACTCCATCTCTTCTTCCTCTCTATTTTACTTTTATTTCTCCCTCTAACTCAAGTCTCTCCCTTTTCTATCCTTGTTTTTATTACATATTTTTGAGAGTAATCATACATGTGTTCGTGTTGGGTATACAGTGGATGTTGAATCAAAGACTGAACTGTCCCTTTCCTCCAATATATTTGTATAGCGTAAAACATGCATTTGAGTTGTAACAGGCAGCTCACTGCTGAGTACCCCTGCCTGCATTCACCCTGAGTTACACCTCGCGTGCTTGGCGCCAGGGACACCTAGCTAGCTAATATTTGTGGTGGAAATTGGGCTCATTTCCTCCACTTGAGCGCAAACCCATTAGGGAATATCCCGTCTGCCATGATACCAGGTCATGTGACCTGAATGTGTCGCTGTTGAAACATGAGCCTTTAACGGCGCTTTGCCGAGGATGTGCTGGCTGAGTTTACGACGAGTAAAAGTTCAATTGGGCAAATTACTTTTGACATTTACCTGTTTTGTGATGTTTTGCTTTATAGCAGAATGTCAGTGTAAATGCATTGGGAAATTGTTCCAACTGTACTTGCTTTTCTTGTTCAGTAGTCATCTCACTCTCTATCGCTCCCACCCTCTCTGTCTCTGTCTCTCTGTGTCTTTTTTCTCTCTCTGTCTGTCTCTCACTCCCTCGCTCTTTGTCTCTATATGTCTCTCTCTTTTTCTCTCTCCCTCTCTGTCTCTCTCCCTCCCTCTCTCTCTCTCTCTCTCTCTCTCTCTCTGTTTGTCTCTCTGTCTCTTTCTCTTTGTCATTCTCCCCACCCACCCTCATCTCTGTTTCTATCTTTGTCCATTTCAAGCACACTGTGTTAGGAACTGTCAGTTCCAATAATAATGCAACCATAATTTTGCATAGAAAATTGACTTAATTTGCATGGAATCTTTTTCTAAAATAACCTTAAACATATTTCCAATTTGATGATTCTAATGCTTATTATCATTTGTAAAAGTTCCTGTAATCAAACACTATGTTCGTGTAGTAACTCAACAGGAATTGATAGTGTAAGCTGATGTTTTGCTTTTTCTATTCATGCATCTCTTATCATGTTAGGACTGTAGATCAAAAGTTATTGAGCCAAACCGCAAAATGTGTGCAATCGCCCTGATAGGAAAGTGGAAATATCTGGTCAGTTCGAAAACATTTCCTCAATTTAATTAGAGTGAAACTGTCAATCAAGAATTGGAGCCATGCTGTGCGATGACTAAGTTCTTAATAAAAGTGAAGCGATAGATTCCCTTTCTTTTTCTGAATTCGAATTAGACACATCAACAGATTAAAAGGATATTGCAACAAATGGCAGTGGTAGGACTAGTCAAAGAAAGGCAAACTGCTTTTGTTCATCAGAAGAAATTGGAGTTTGTTGAAATCTTGTAGAAGTAAGGTAGAAAGAAATAAACTTAGAGAGAAATGACACAAAATGGGAAAAAAATATTAAGACTTGGCATCGGCTCAGACTCCATATTGAAAAGTACATTTTGAATGAGTTGAAGTGAGAAGTTACCATTCTAGATAGATTACATAGACATCCCCCCCCCCCCCCCCCCCCCCAGCCCTGAGAACAAATAACAGAGGGAAAACATTACATGTATTTGCAATGTATTTTTTTATTAAATGAAGTACCATCTGACTCTTCAAACAGCCTTTCAAAGTACTGAGTCGAAAATGAAAATGAAAAAAATGATTTAAATGGGACATACATGTACAAGGACGTGAAGTTTGAGCCGATATTTCCTAAGTAGCGTGCTTTCCCTTTGAGAAACCCAGATATTATGACAGCAGTAATGAAGGAGGATCTGTTACAAAGTGAAATAAGATACGGATATTAGGTTGGATAGATGTAGAGGAAGAGAGTGTGTGCGTGTGATGAGGCCTGCCTGCCTGCCTGGAGGGGGGAGTCTGCACAGAGAGAGTTTGTAGCCACTTGAGAGAGAGAGAGTTACGTCACCGGAAGTTGCTTCTGATTGGTCGGGCATTACACCGTGCTCCAAAATAGTTCCTTCCCATAGAGAATGTACACGAGAGGGAACTGGTTGGAGCCCCATAAGTTAACGTATGACCCATCTCGCATACGGGTAGATGCGCATGTCACAACTACCCTGATATGCTATGGGAGGGTTGGGATCTCTCGTAACAGTACTTAACAATATCCTCTCTTGTTCTTTGAAATAGCCGAATGAGTCTTTTGTTTCAATTGGATGTCAGCAAATATATGACTTGACAGCTCTGTGCACGAGTCCCTTGATTACAGACTGTTATGGGTTGCTGTAAATGGAGGAATTTCTTTTTCTCTTAACTTTGAAATACATACATTCAATAAATATTCATACAACAACTTGTTCATTTTATGTAGCAAAACCTGTATATAAAGGCTGCTTAAGGCTTTAAGGAAGAGATGACAAACAGTGTTTTTATAAGCAGGTTGTCTTTATGGACAGGTTGCTTTAGTGCATGATGTTTCAATAGGAAATAATCTTCAAGGAAAACATACAGGTGGTCTGAACTTCTGAAGAGATGGGTGGTTGCTAAAGCAGGTTTCACTGTACTCTGAAAATATTTTATGATGTGATAAGAGATGTGGTACCATAAACCAGGAAAATTTGTGGATTTTGCGAGAGGTCCAAATTTGCCAAAGTTGCATGCTTCAAACCAATCAAATCACAAAAAAAGATTTGTACAGTTTCAAAAAGCGCCTGACAAATAAGGCTGTCATTCACATTTCTAGAGTTTTATTTCATGGCAGTTCCTGGCTCGGCATTACTATGAATGGGAATTCTGTTTACATCAGATGCTTCAATAAACTCGGTTCAAATTGATTCAATTTGATCATTTTTTTCTTCTTCTTCTTCTTTCTTTTATGTACCACAGAGAAACCGTAGAGGTCCAGCAAGCCACCGAACAGGTCATGACCGATGCACGGGAGAGACTACGACAAACTCAAGGCCAAGGTCAAGAGAGGCTGTCGGTCAAGAGTCGTCTCGGAGCCCTCGTCGGTCATTCAATAACCCCTGCCCCGTCCATGGAGAACTTGAAGGTGATCCTGGACGTCAACGATCGCCTCTCCGATGCCTGGCAGAGCAGCGGAGATGAGGAGGGAGGCGAGTCATTCCACGAGGAAGTGGACTACGAGAGCGATGAGCTTGACCTCGGGAGTGACCTCAGGTCAAGGTTAAGTCGAAGGCAACCCGAGATGTCGCGGTTTAGACCCGGGTTCAGAGATTCTGACACAACACCAGCCTTCCTTGAGAATCTTCCTTCCCTTCAAATTGAGATCAGAGAAGAACTCTAAATATCACAATGACCTGACCTGACATGATGATCTTTCTCTAGGTCAACTGATTCATAGATCTTGATTCCAAGCAATGTTTAAGTTCATTCTTTTTATTTATAATTGAATGTCTTTTAAGGTGATCTGAGCATTATCCTGCCAAAATTACATTTCGGGGTCCTGTCTTAGAGTACAAGAGTTCTTATTGATTTGAATCTATTGTATTTTAGATGGACATTAATCACAGCTCTTTATAAAAGATAAAAAGTTTGTGGAGCTTTACATTACATCACAAGAATGTTTGGAGCTTCTTCTTTTTTTCTTTTTTTTCTTTTTCTTTTTTTCACAAGTTATCCAAGTTTGATGAGAGGGATTGTCTCAATAACAAAAAGCAGTTGTAATGAAAGAATGATCATTCTTACTAGGTTATTTTAGATGATATACCATTGTAAGATTGGTCATTTGGTTTATAGCTAGCGTATTTATTATACTGTTACTCTATGGAATACCTCTTCTTCTTTTTTTGTAAACATTTTTTAACAATTTTTTGTTGATCAATACTTTCTTCCATTATGAGTCAGTGCAATTAAATTGGATTCATTTAAAATCACAATGAATCAAGATTTTGATATTCAAATATATCCTTTTGTGAATAAAGCATTGTAAAATGAACGAGACGTACAATGTACATAGACCTAGGGATGCATTTTGTATAGATTCTAGATTTCATATCTTTCATACATTTTTCTGTATATAATGAGTAATAAAAATACTGAACCTCTTTTTGTAATATTTTGTATAAAAGATGAGGAAAAAGAAAATTCCTGATTGGGAATATGCAAGTAATTTTTGGTATTCTTTGTTAATCTGCAAAATTAGCAGTAATTTATGTTTGCATTTTGATTATTTCGTGATTTGTTTTACCTCATAGGTATAAAAGTTAGTATTCATTTATGCTTTAAGATAAGCTACCCGGTGACCTTTGGCTTTCCCTCCTATCTGAGGGACTTGGTTATTGGGGATTAATGCTCCTTACAAGAGAGAACTAGCATATTGACTTTGTTTGCAAACTTGGGACCTTTTGGTTACGATACCACTACATTACAGCAGATCATTAATTTGTCCTGCTTCCTAACATTAATTTTTTCTATTTTGGTCCATAGTTTCTTGATACTCCCTCCTTTTAACCACACATCCTTAAATGGTTTTGGTAGCTTACTTGTATCTTCAAAATATATTGGCATGTAACGACATGTCAGGACATGTCAGGACATGTCAGGAATGCAAATAGCATAATTGTTTACAAGAAAGAATTTATTACATATAGGAAGAACAATTATAAATACCCTATTACTTTACCTAGGCTTATTCTTGAGTAAATGAATATAACAAAAAATAAAAATAAATGATTTTTATTTGACCACCGATTTCTGAAATTAATCTGTTGTCAAAAGACAGTGTAGTCAAAAGACAGTGTAGTTTTGTAGATTGTCAGAACCCCGGTTTCTGAAATTAGTCTGTCGTCATGACGATGTAGTTTCGTAGAACTTTCGGGGAAGACTTCAGTGAAAGCTATGTGCCATGTTAAATCACGTTTTTGTTTTTAGAACTTGTGTGGAATAATTTGTTAAATACCTGAAATAAGAATCGGATTAAAATGGTGTGTGCAATCTACACCGCATTTCTTTTATTGCAGTAGGAGTCTATCATAACTGTTTAATACACATCAGTCAGCATCTTTGCATTCAAACATGTAGGTCACATTTTGACATCTTGAAATTTGAGTTCTTTTATCAATGTATATGTTCATTTACCCACGGAAATGGGTTGTTATCCAGCTTAATTTATCAAATTCAGTGAATCGCTTTCATTGAGTTATACCTTGGTTCGTACCATTTTATAATTAGTTTCTTACAGGATACTTCAAAGTATTGTAATTCTGTACTTTACATATTGTTTGTTCTTTAAAATATACCTCATGAGACTGTTTAATGGCTTGTTTTGGTTTTATTCTTTTTAAGGAGGATGAAAATTTAATTTTATGAAAGGTATGTCAAAGAATGATGATTGTAAATAAACAGCCAAGAGAACAAAACTTTCAGTGTGAAATCTGTATCTGTACATGTATATCTAAATTTATAATCATTATCACCATCGTAATCATTATCATCCTCATCATCATCATCATCATCATCATCATATTGGATGGAAAGAGTGAACGGGAGAGGAAGATTGTTGGAAAGGAGTGAATGGGATGAGATTGTTTCAGTTATCATTAAAAATTAAAGCCAAAACCTGTACAGAAAGACCATTCAAGGGAGACATAAATAGCAGTCTTTATACTCCTCATGTGGTCGTTGCAGACTGTACAGGTTTTCTCTAACACACTAACACATCAACACACTTTTAAGGCCAGAAAAATGTGTCTTTCTTTACAGGAAGACGCTAAAGCAGGTTTGTTTGACTACTTCATTTAAAAAAAAATATATCAATGAATGATTAAATGAAGAGATCAACATACACGGGGAAAGTAGAAAAGAAACTTAAATTTATTTTATATAATCTGTAAATCAAATATGAATAGATAATTTTACTGCTTTATCTATTAAACATAAACAATGCAAGTTGCAGATTGTATCAAACTAACCACAACATATTGACGAAAGACCTTCAGCTTATGAACCCACTTCATGGTACAATGCATAATTAAACGGACCAATACTTGCTATCGCCAATACTCCCAAATGCCCGGATGAAACCTCTTGAAAGTAATTTCAAGTCGCTCCCTGGACTTGCATACTTCCGGTGTACAGTGGCGAGCACGTATTATGCATACGCATTGTACGAACATGTACTTGCTTGTCTGAAAGCTATTACCAGGTTTCGCAGTTTTGTGATGGTAGAAAGATACTCCAAATCATATCGACAACCATATTGAATTAAACAATGAAAGCCCTTCTCTTAAATTTAAGTTTTTGCACTTGCCAACGAACGTTATTATTTTCTATGCTTCTCCTTGCTCTTGACCATCACAGATCCAAATATATTATTGTTAGTATATGTAACAATACATTTTTTGTAATGATCCACTCGCTGCGATTACGGTCGGAAAAGAAAGTACACATACACACAATCAAAGCCGGCATAAACAGCGCAAACATGGTAAATTGATCGGAAACGAATGTGTCACCAAACTATCCCGGAGTACATTTGATATGGGGCCTGACGGCAACATACGGGCGTTTTTTAATATATTGGCGATAGCAAGAATTGTATTGTGTCACTTTTGTGCCATTTTCCAAAGGCAGAGCGTTTAGTTTAGTTATGAGATGGAAAAACACTAGAAAACATTGCAATATCACTTTTGAAAGAACTTTGTTTACAAATGTATTAACAAATGTCAAGTTATATAAACCTAAATGACCGATTGTATTAAAATTCATTTTGTTTAGAAATAACAAAATGTTAAAATTGGAATACCGGTAGATTTTTTTCAAAGACACAAATAAAGTGAGTTTTTATACGTAATATATCACAGAGCTCCAAGTGCAAGGATTGCCAGAACTTGACACGTCATTTGCTTTTAATAGGCCTTAGTAGCAACTTACTGTTATACTGTCATGGTTTAATGTCCACTCATTTAAAACACTCCTGAGAATGCAAAAAAGATAATCTGAGTTTATACATGATATATACATATGATAATGAAAGTTACAGAAAGCCATCTCATTCTCAAAGAACACTTCTACATGCAGTTATAATACATTTCCCATCCAAACCATTGTTAACCCTTTTAATACTGTGCTTTTTCTTGAAACACACAAGTCCCAGATCTTTCTTACAGAAAATGTAACAGCGGCATTCAAAGGATTATCAGTGAGTACAAAAAAACAGCAACTATCCGTAAGCAGTCAGAGCTGATAGTGAATGAATAAGAAATTCATAATTGGCTTATACACCTCAAAATCATGCAGAATGTAGATGAGATATGAACAGATGGCAAAATGATCAAGAAACATGTTTTTACGACCCAATACTCAAACCTTAGCCAGAACAGTAGTATTTAACCTCCTTGGACCTAGTAGGTAAGGACCCAATCTGATATGCAAATTTTGGTCATTGCTATTACCCCCTGTGATGAAGTTGTATATTATACATGTGCATAGAATTTATAGTTTAACCCCTTAAAAATCCAAATTGCCCCATGACGATCATGACCTACAGGTTTAATAAGTACCGCTGATTGGTCTAGATTGTCTCCATACAGTGCATCAAGAATATTCCAGCTTAAAATATTTTAAAACTCATCAGCTCATGTACACATTATTTCAAACAATTACCTCTGCAAATCAATAACTTTTACTACAGCTTACAAGCGTAGTACACTCAAAACATAACGTCAGTAATAATATTGCAACTTTTCAATGGCTTCCGTCTCGTCACTCTGGCCAATCAAATTAGTGCAGTAGAAATATACTGATGATCAGCTTTTACCATACAGTCTTCATAAATTTAGAGCGCGGTTTCCACAAGCTTGAGATGGGCTGATCCACAAAGACATCCAACCCAGATAAACAGGTCTGAAGACATGACATTCTACAAATCTCTAGCATGGGGCTTGAATCCATGACCTGCAAGGAAGGATTCATGTAGCTTTGCCATACAGTCTCCATACAGTAGTCTCCAGATACTTCGCTTATGATGTAGATGGACCTCCATTAAGGCATCTTGTCCTGGTAAATTGGTCAACAGATGCAATGTCATGAAGGTTTCAGCATGAGACTTGAATCCATGTCCTTGCACAACAGACCACAGGACCACAGGGATCTGACCTCACTCCCTCTGATAATAAAGCATGTATGCCTTCTGTGAGAGTACATCGGATATCTGAGCAGTGTACACAGTCTCATCTGACACACACAGCCAGTGTGTATTCAGAGGTTCGTTCGGTTTGCTTGGTCCTCGGCGATATGTCATAAAATGTCCAGAGAACGCATTGCCGACGTGAACCACCGCTGAAGCGAGCTTGTATTTGGATTCTATGGGTTTGGAGCTGCAGAAAAATGATTTAAATCACAATAATATTATTTCTAACATTAACAACAAGTACTGTATTCATAGACAAAACAGCAAAATGATAGACATGAATCTTTAAGATTCAAGTTCTGGTAATCATACTTCATTTAGAGAGAAAGTGAGTACAAATCATTCCTAATTAATGAGTGGTGATAAATAAGGAACTAAAAATATTCTCTTTATTTCATTTTTGCAATTAATGTCACAAAAATTAATTTGTGATATACTGTATGAGATTTTCAAAATTTCACACCCACTCCATGCATATTACCTCTAATGCAATCTGATCATTGCACCCTTTTAGGGTCATGTAGTAAGATCATAATTTTTGTTGCTGCATTTTTATTTTTTTTTTATTATGGAATTACAACTTTACAGTAATATGTCAAAAGATCAGGTTAAAACTTTGAAAAGCTGCCTACTAGATTATTTGCGCATCATTGAAAAATAAGTAGACAACAAATTTTCTGTGCTTGAAAATGGAATGTGGATGTAAATTTTGGAGTAGGCAGATGATGAAGAAATTGTGTAAACAAATTTTGATTCAATACCTGTGACTGTTTGCATCTAGGTAGCCCTCTTTATCGTCTTCAAGAGTTGTATTCTCTGCGCTCATTCTTCTCTCCTCTTCCTCCTCCTCCTCCTCCCTCTCTTCTTCTTCCTGCTCTTCCTCTGCTGGTATCCATCCTCCTCCTACCAAGCGTAATGATGCAGGACGAGACGGAGACAGAAACCGGTCTCCGATGAAGGAGTGATTTGATGATGCACTGGATCTGAAATGTGAATCATGGATTATTGCAGGGCGAGTGCAAGGTGCAGTAAAGAGAGGAATACACGTAGCTGTTTAAGGGGTCCCGGCATTGAACAAGAACAGAATTGTCTATTTTTCCCTAACGGAGCTTCAAAATTCCAGGATCATTAAAGGAGGCTTTTTACACACACTATATATATATATATATATATATATATATATATATATATATATATAAAGCCACCACGGTTGACAATCCTCTTGATATGCTGTAAACACATGAACAAAAACATACTACTTATTTTTTTTTTGGGGGGGGGGGGGGAGGGGAGAGCCAATTCAATGAAATTCTCTGATTTTTAACAGATTTGAGTGATTAAAAAAAAATTGAGCTTTTCCCCGACTGTTTTCCAGGTATTCCTGAATTCATAGACTCCTTACTCTGGAGAAACATAGCTTGGACCTATCATTGGATCACCAAAATTATCTTTATGCATAATAATATTCAAGGCTCTTACTTTCTGCCTGTCACCGTTTTATGACCATTTGCGAGTGTCGTCTGTTGAACCAAGCGCAGTGACTTGGTGATCCCTATACTCCCACTTTTGCAGGTTGCGTTGACTGATGCCAGCCGGTATCTGCTCATGTCGAGGACCTCAGGGAACATGATGTGCTCCTCTCTCCTGAAAGGAAGACCGTCAGGTTGCCAGCCGACACGCTGGATGTGAATGCAAAGACACTGGGGTAGCTGGAGAAAGACATGAAGCAGTGAATGAAAGCGGGACTGCACTACTTGTAGCTACTTGCGCCCTCTATATAACAAACAATGCCTAAGCAGTATCGGTTCCCATCGGTTCCCATCGGTTCCCCATGATCCCTTTTTCTTATGTTAATTGAGAGCTGATATGATGAGATAACCACCTGTCAGTGACCATGCAGGGAGGCCTAATCCCTCCTGGCCAAACTAGTGCAGATAGGCTTTAATAACAATGTAAAGAACATAACAATTTTGGGGGTAATTTTGACTGAAACTGAACATCACTTCAGAATCATCATGACCATTCAGCATCCATTTTTCCCACGATGTGGGGTTGGACGTGCCATTTCCTGTGTGGCCCTTGCCCAAGTTTTCTGGTATCCAGCATCCGCCCGAAAGGGACCAGATACTTCATATACTGGTAGTAGTGAGTACTCATCTCATCTTGCTATTGGTCATCTGAGTTTGGAAGAATCATTTAAAATTGAAACTGAGTTGACACCCAAAAAGA